AAGTTGCACAATGAATCCTGTGTTCAGTTTTGGGCTCTTTACAGCAAGAAGGACATTGAGATGCAGAAGTGTGTCCAGAAAAGGGCAGTGCAGCTGATCAAGGGTCTGGAGCATAAGTGCTGTAAGGAGCATCCGAGGGAGTGTACAGCCTGGAGAAAAGGAGGCTCAGGAGGGCCATTATCACTTTGTACAACTGCCTGAAAGGAGGATGTAGCCAGGCGGGAGTTGGTCTCTTCTCCCTTGAAACAAGTGATAGGGTGAGAGGAAATGGCCTGAACTTGCACCAGAGGAGATTTAGGTTGGATATTAGGACAAATTCCTTCACGGAACGGGTTGTCAATCACTGGCACAGGTTGTCAATCACTGGCACAGGCTGCACGGAGAAGTGGTGGGGTCACCATTGTAGGAGCGGATTTAAAAGACGTTAACATGTGGCACTTGGGGACTTCGCTTAGTGCTATACTTAGCTGTGCTATATTAAAGGGTGGACTTGAAGATCTCAGAGGTCTTTCCCAAACATTCCAAGTTGGGATTTCCCAACCGCAGAACTGTTTGTGTGACTGACCCAGTGAATGTCGCTGTTGCGGATCGCAGTGGCGGCCATGGCGCCGAGCAGTCCCCGCGTCGCCACGGCAACGCACAAAGCCTCGGCGCGCGTGCCCTCCCCCGGCCGCGAGCGGCGCTCTCGCGAGACTTGGTGCGGCGCGGCGCGGCGAGGCNAGGGCTGGGTTCCGAGCCCCGGGCTCTGGTACCTGGCGGACCGGTTCCCATGGGGTGCTCTTCAGGAGTGTTCCGCATCGCTTCTGGTGCCGTTTACGTTTCCACTTCTTGCCAAAACGATGTTATTTGTAAAGCCGTTGAATTAGTCTTTGTTTACGTGAGAATGGTCAGACAGCCCTAGAATGAGTTACTTTCTAAAAGCGAACCCCGCTCGAAGCGAACATGCACGAAGTTTTCTTGGAAGCTGTAACATTTTCATACAGGGAGTATGTAAAATTATATAGTAGGTCTAAAAGGAATTTAATGCAAGGGAGCTGGAACTACCAGCTCTCTGGAACAATACCATTAATAACTTTGTGTGTGTGGTTGTTCTTGATGTCAGGCTTTGAGGATTGTCACTCTACATGAACTAGGTTTTAGCCTCAGATCATTGGAATTTCAATATCTCTTCCAATCTCATTCAGATCTTGGAGGGAAAATACATTTACAGTAAACCCACTGCTAAAGTACATCAAAGCTATTGGTGTCTGAAGTTTTGACACGTTCTAAGCAGCCCTGCTCTAACACAGTTGTATTTAAAAAATGTATGTGGGATCATCTTCAATATAAAGCTGGAGGAATAAAGATGTACTTCATGCCTTTACTTGACTCCATGTAAAATTTAATTTCGTTCACAAGCTATAAATTCCACTTTACTGTAAAACAGAATTTGTGGATTTGTTTTTTACCCCCATGTCTGGTCCACAGCTTCTAAACTGTGCAGATTAGAATTGCATTTTCACAGGACGATTGTCACCCTTTTGCCCCTTTTTGGTGTATAAATTTTATTGCCTTTAGAGGTTGCTGATGTTGAAATGAGGTATTTTCTCTGTATCCCTCCTGTCAACAATTTATTTTCCCTCCGAAACCTCACAAGCAAATGAAAAATCCCAGTCATTCTGCATGGTAGAAGTCACAACTTGAAGTTAGAAAGTAATGGGGGGGTTCTTGGTAACAGAGATACAAATCTTATTCTTTCACATGCAGTTTCTAATCTTCCCCCAAACGGCTGTACAAAGGATTAAGCTGTCAGTCTGTAGGTTAAATATATTAAAAAAAAAAAAGTATTTCATTAACCTGGTTTGCTTAGCATTCATTAAACTGGACAGGAATCCTGGCTCAGTTTGCACACTTCCTAAGTTTTTTGTATTGGTATTGGGCAGTGGAACTGTTCAGCACAACAAAGCTTTAGAGAGCCATATGCTTTGGAATCACAAGTTGTGAACTTCTTCCACTTCAGTCTGCTTATCTTGTTGTGGACACTTGTGAGGAGAGAAGTTAGTTTTAAAAAATCAAGTTTTAGGGCTTTCATGTTGATGTATCTTGTGCCTATTATTTTTAGGCTTCTAGTTTTGCATGTGGAAAGCCTGTCTTTTGTCTTTAAAACTTTATGGAAAATTCAAAAGTGGTTTTTTTTGGGGGGGGGGTTTTGTTGTTGTTGTTGTTTTTTCCCCAAAAGGGATAATTGGTCTTTCAAATCAATGAGCATATGCACTTTTTTTTTTAAGAACTAATTGTAGACATTTTTTTTCCCAGTCCTAGGAATGGTGATGGTCTGTGATTTCACAGGCAAATATTAATTTAATGTGTGAAATGTGTAGCTCATACAAAAGGTAAAGATTAGAAATTACTATTGCTTTTCCCCCATGAAAATGTCAGTTCATAATTTCTGAATCTGTCTTCTCTGTGGTCTGTAGGTGACTAATGTGAATTTGAATGTATTATTTGATTGAAATTATTTTTAATTTTCAAGGAGGAGGGTAAGAGTTTTAAAAGGATCTCTGCCTCTGGCCTGTTCACTGACCTGTGTTGGTTTTGGCAGATGAGTTTTGCAAGAAGGATTGTTTCTTTAATTAATCCTCTATTTTCAGCAGCCTGGCTGTGATTCCCAGACCAAGTGCACTGTCGCTTTGTTTCCCAGATTTAGGAGTTTATGCCAGGCTTGTATCTTCTTTGCTCTTGACTGATTTATACAGCCAGGTTTTTCAGAGCCTTTGGATTCCATATTTGGAGACCTGTCTCATCCTGTACACTACACTGAGCACCAAGGGGCTGTTTCATAATCCTTTAAGCAGAAAAGAGCTTAAAAGGCTGAAGAGAATCCATTGCTCTAATCCTAAAACTTAAGGAAGAACTCAGATTTTTATTAGGTGTCTCGTTGGACAGGGGATAGTTTTGCATTTGCAAACAGAATTGGATTGGAAGGAAATAATCTGACTGGAAGAACTGATACTCTGCTCTTTGCTTCCTCCCTGAATCCCTCCAGTTCCTGCATTGTTCCCTTCATTTCACTTCATTACACAGCCACACAAGAATTACGTTTTCACACAGACACAGGATGGTGTGGAGGAGGGATGATGCAGAGGGACGTTGGAGGATGCCTGAACCAGATAGCGAGTTGTTGACTTGAGATGTTTTAAATTTTACAAATACTTGCCCCACGGGAGTATCCATGCATTTCCCAGTTGCTAATCCACTCTTAATCCGCATGTAAACACAAGGACTGTGAAGTTAATACCATATGAGTATTTCAAAATTGGGGAAAAAGTCATGGGAGGAATATGGATGTGTTTGAACGTACTCTTCTCTGAAAAGTTCCCAGGCTTGAGTAGATAATACATTTAGCTTCATGAAAAGCTCCTTGCATGTGCTTTTGAGTGCAGGACTGCTATTTACTCACTGTTTTGTTAACAAAAGTGCAGAGAGCTGAAAATTTGTCAGTTAATCAAAATCACTTGGTTTTGCCATATGTTGTAGTTGTAAAACTGAAATGCCTGAAACCTTCCAAAGTGTCTAAATGAGATAAAAACTAAACCGTCTGAAATGTGGGAAATAAAGATTAATTTAAGAAGGAAGGTTCACAATCATTCACTTCTGTCAGTCCTGTAGGACATTACCTTCTAATTGTTCTAACTCAAGATGCTAATTCTTTTTAAAGTACATGTTTCTGTAAAAGTACTTTTAAAGTTTCTCTTTAAGTAGACAGTGATGTGTAGTTAAAGTTGCTAAGTAGCATCTGTTTAGTGGATCACATTTGTGTGGCTTTATTCAGTGGATTCTCTCAGTTCAGCAGTTCTTCTTTTTAAAAGTAACAATTCAAGCACCTTGAGCCTCTTAGCATGCTAAATGACCTTGTGGTAGTAAGGATATCAGGAATGCTGAAGAGTTACAGATATTTCTTCTAATTCTGTTAGAAGTGTATGGTCTTACTGACCCTGAGATTTGGCCTGCCTTAAAAGAGAAGCAGTCAGTTTTCTTGCGTTTTCATCCAAAAAATAAAAATATTTTAAAAGGAGAATTTTTGTGCTGTTGGTGAAGTTTTGAAAGACAAAGGGCCAGGCATCTGTTTTGTTGTTTTTAGTGGATAATACCTAGTTATTTAATTAGTCCTAGATTCATAGCATGGCTTTATACAGCTGTTTCCTTTGCGTTTAGAAAGTTTTCAACTTCTAGTAGTGTTAAGCAGTGAAACTGAAAACAAATATTTGTTGTTCTTAGTTAAATTTTAATTTCTGTCTAACAGTAGTCTGGCACAAATTGTGAATAAAAATTATTTATGAGGTAGGTAGAACATAATTTGATATAAAACCTATTGGAGTTGATTTTGATATATTATGACTCCATTGAATGAAGCATCCTGAGCTCTTTCAGCTCTCAAACTTAGACTATTTCTACTCCCACTTCTGTGGTGAATATCCTGTAACTTGTCCAAGTGAGGTGTGAAAATTACCAAGGCACCAATGCATGGGTATTATAGTTCATTTTTCACTCTTTCTGTTTTTGTCTTCGTGGTAGTTTCATAGTTCCATCTTTTAGAGTCTTGACAGACAGGATGTGCTGGCACAGGTTGCCCAGAGCAGTGGATGCCCCATCTCTGGAAGTGTTAAAAGTGGGATGAAACCCTGAGTAAGGTGATCTAGTGAAAGGTGTCCCTGCCCATGGCAGGGGTCTTGGAATTAGATGATCTTTAAAGTCCCTTCCAACCCAAACCATTCTAGGATTCTATGATTCTGTGAAGTGGAATGTAAGTGAATTAGTAAGATACACCTTTTTACTTAATATTGTAACATTTTTTTGTTCTTGATTAAACAGTGTATTTTGAAATTACTCTGGTAGCATGATTTCCTAATTTTAAAAGCAGTGTTTGACATCCTGGGAATTCCAATAGCATAGGAAATACTCAATTATATAGGTAGGAGGTGGGGTACGCTAATGACCCAACAGAAGACTAATAGTGTTTTTGTTTGGATTTTTGTTTTTTAATGTAGGGATAATGATGAGACAGCAAAAGAAGGGAAAGCACCTGTGAAAGAGAAGTTCGTTGCAAAAGCGAAGGCAATCCCTTCTCTTGGAAACAAGAATAGATTCCACCCCTATGCAAAGGAGAAGAATGCAGGCGCTGGGGACAAGAAGGCTGTTAATCGCAATAGAGTTTTTATTAGCAACATCCCGTATGACATGAAATGGCAAGCTATTAAAGACCTGATGAGAGAGAAAGGTAACTTACTGCTTGTAATACACTTCACACAGAAACCAATAGGGCTTAAATGCAACCGATGTGTCCTTTGAGCCACACAGATTTGATTTGACTTTTTTTGTTTTGGCCTTTACTTGGTACATCTATCTCCCTTCCCCCTCTTTCATCCGAGACAATTGCATTGCAGGGTAGGCTGGGTAAATGAAGTGCTCACAATCTTCTGCCATTCTGGTGTGACAGTAGAGAGTATATGCATGACCTCATGGGTTCTTAAAGAGATTGTGTTTTGTCTAGTTGTAGTTCTTGTAGATTTTTTTTTCTCTAAGGGCTATTGTATTTAAGCAACACATGAAGTGTGTTAACCTGAATAATAAGGGATGTCTTTCAAAAGTTGTTTTGTATTTCTTTGGTGGAATCTGGCTGTGGCATTAACTTTGTCTGCATTGTCACTACTGCCATGACTGTTTGTCTGGAGCTTTGTATTAAAAGCTTGTTACTATTGTTGCAGTTCTGATAGAGAAATCTGACTACCCCAAAAATTTATTTTAAATTTGGGGTAAAATAATGATAATATATAGATTCTGTAAAAAGTTAGTTCTGTGTTTTCCTTGAAAAATTGATTCTTCAAAAGTAATGCAAAGCACACTTGGCTTTTAGGCTGTGAAAAATGCCAGACCCCCTTCTGTAACTGCTGGTTTATCTGTTGTAAGGTGACGTGACTATTTGATTGCTTTATTTACTTAAACTTCCTACCTTAGAAAGTGAGTCGCTTGCTGTGAAATATTTGATGTGTAAATTTGGTTATTACTGAAGGCAAACTTTTGATTGAAGATATTCAGGTAGAAAGTCACCTTAAAACAGGTGTTGTGAGTAGGATGATAAATGCAACACTTTTCAGTGAACGTTGTCGTTTCATTTGTTAGGTTAAGGGACTGTGTATATCTGAATTTGTTCACCAACTATATCATACTGGCCAAAATATGATCTGTAGTATGAATTAGGTTAAATATAGTTGTTTGTTTTTAGCTTTTGAGAATGTGGCTGCTGCATATTTCTGAAAACTAGCTAAATTATATAGCCATTGACAGGAGGTATGTTGGTCTGGTTTTGATTGTTGGTGAATAATAGGTGATTCTCTGTAGACTTGTGCACAGGGGCACAGTAAAGAAAGATACTGGTGTTTAAATGCATTGTCTCTTGGTATTTTCCCTTTGTATGTCTTATGTAGTTGGTGAGGTTACATACGTGGAGCTGTTTAAGGATGCTGAAGGAAAATCAAGGGTAAGTGCCGTGGGCAACAATCTGCTAGAGGTGTAAAAGTTCCTCAGCAGTTTTATTTTTGTATAATACCTGTACCAGTTATTGGAAAGTAAGTTTCATTTTTACACTGATTTTCATTAAGGTAGCCTTGAGGATTCTGTGTTAGAAGTAGTCTGACACCTTCATGCAACTCACACTAGCTGGTTGTAAGGGCAAAGTACTTCTCTTAATGTTAATAAATGGCATTTACTTAATTCTTCTTTTTAGCCAACACGTTTGTCTTGGTACAAATCTGTTTCATATAAAGGATGCTCAATAAACCAATCATTTTATTTAAATTTTGTTAATGTAGTATGCTCTTCTTGGGGCCAATAAGTATAAAATGTTAGCTAAGAGTATATTGGGTGAAGTGCCTGATTTCACAGCTTTGCAGGATTGGTACTTTTAAACACTGGCTTAATGTATTTATTTTCTTAAAACTAAATGGGTGCAGATGGTTGGTAGCCAATAGAGTGCCTGCAGTGAGGCACTAATAGTGAAGATTGTTAAAGCTCCTCTGTCTTCTTAATAATAGTCAAATGTTTGGCCAATAGCAGCTCCAAACCTGCAGTGAGAACGCAAGAAATGCAGGTTTGAGTCTTAACTGAGGTCGTATCGATTGTTGTAAATTACTTTCTTTAATACTTGTTTAAACTAAAACATGCTGTCAGCTTTGCTGTACTTAAAGAAATCCTCTTTGCTTTATTAGAAGGATGCTGGTGTAGTCAATAAGGTTATTTTCTTATAAGGTAATTTTTCAATTATGCTGTAGTACTGAAGAGGTATGCAGATTGCTTTTTCACTGTAGTGGTGTACTTGATGTAGGTAGATTTGAATTTTGTAGTTAGTGGACAGCTTTTAATGACATGATGAGTGTCTTGATTGGTTTTTGGTTATGTTTTGGGGTTATTTTCTTTCCACCCTTTCCCTCCCACCTCCTCTTCCCAGTTGTCCTTACATGGATCTGTGTGGCATTTTTCCAATTCTGGTTTGACTTAAAATATGTAAGAGAAAATGTGTTCTCTTGCATTTGAATGGTATGTATGCTGTGAAAGTAGGAGAAATTCAGATTGGCTACCACTAAAGAGCATATATTATGAATTTTGAAGCTGAAAATAACTTGTATAGTTACTTAACAGTGAGCTGGGATCTTTAACTGGAATCTTCATTGCTCTGTCATATGTGCTGACTGACTTCTTGTTTTTTTGCTTGTTTTCTCTTTACATATGATGACAAATCTCATGGATATAGGGTTGTGGGTAAGTTTCTTTTTTTATGTGTATGGAAGCACACTGCTATCCAAACATTCTATTAGTTTTGGCATGTTAAACTTTATTTTAATGCTCTAAATGTTTTGATCTCTTTCTAAGTGTGGTTGAATTCAAAGATGAAGAATTTGTTAAGAAGGCATTAGATACTATGAACAAATATGATCTTAGTGGAAGACCCCTGAATATTAAAGAGGTATGTTTATTGCTGCTGAATTTGAAACAGCGAAGATACTAAAGCTACTGGGATGACCATACAGTGTTTTGAGAATCTGAGATGTGTAATTTTCAGTTTCATTTTTCGTGAAATTTTCTTAATGGGCTGAACTGCCTGTTGGCTGCAGAAGGTTGGATACTATGCCAAGTAAACTGATAAAAAGCATTTCCTTAAGTCATAATAATTGAATGCTGCTTTTTGTTAAAACAACTTGACTTCATATTCTTACCTTAGTGTCATCAGGTCTTTTCCAATCTAAGTAATTCTATGTTTACATTACTTACGTGCTTCAAAATATGACACAGAATGAGCTAATCATTAGACCACTACATATGTGCAAAAACAGGGATGGAAATAGAGAAGTTGTGCTCTCTGGAAAGTGAAATAATGTCAGCTTTTCTATTGTAGTGCTGTAGTGTATGATGGTTTCTGATGCAGTTCTTCCTGTCCTGTTACAATTTTAATAATGGTATTAATAAATAATACAAAACCATCACCTAATTAAATTAATTCAGTTCTTGGAGGAAAGTGCTAGGCTGACAGTCCTTTAGCTTGAAATCTTTTCTACTTGTCCATAGGCTAGGTACAGCATGTGAAGTGGCAGTGCACGCTTCCTCAACAAGTGCTTTGCCAATATGCCTCAACCTCATCTGAAAGGACCCACCTCTAGAGGTGAGGGAATTGGGTCTCCATGCTAATCCAGTTCATGATCCCTCTGACATGGACAAGCATATTTATTAGTTGATAATTTTGATGGATTTGTGCTGCATTTCAAATAGTACCATTTTGTTTGTTGCCAGGCCTGTTGTTGATGGTTAAGTGGCTTTGTTTTTGCCCATGTTTCAGGATCCTGAAGGGGAACATGCTCGTAGAGCACTACAGCGTGGAGGAGGGCAGTTTCCAGGAGGACATGGGCCTGATGCAGCACCTGGAATGATGAATTTACCACCTTCTATTCTCAATAATCCAAACATTCCTCCTGAGGTTATCAGTAATTTGCAAGCAGGCAGGCTTGGATCCACGATTTTTGTTGCCAATGTAAGCTTAAAACTGTATTTTATAACTTTAGTGTTTGATCTTTTTAAGACATCTTGTACTTGTGTAGTTCAATTTTATTATAAAGGGGGGGTTGGAAATAGTTCATAAGTTAGTATATTAAATTGAAAATCTTGGGTTTGTGTTCATATTTTGGACATGGAAAGATACATTAAACTCTTGAGACTGATATGCACTACTAATTATTGCAGTCATCTGTTGATTCAAAAATATTTTATAAATCTTTTCACTATTTACAATTACATTTTTAAAAATTAAATATGTACTTCAGTTTATCTTGCTAGTTTCTTTAGACTAACACAATAAAGTTCCAACAAATACAGTGGTTCAAATTCTTTATTAGCACAAAAGACTGATGTATTTATATGAGGTCTTGTGGAATTACAGCTGCTCTTCTCAAGAACCAACTCAATGTTAGTATGTTAATTAAAGTAAAATACATGTTGAATAGAATGAATTGTTGATTTTTTGGATTTTGACACAATGTGTGTATATTATAAAATCTCAACTTTTTACAATTATCAAGCATTTTGTCAATGAAGAATTAACAGCAATGTAGAAAATTTCTGCCAAATGTGATGGCAGAACAGAGAAAGACACTGAAATCACTGATGTATTTCTGTGTTTAAGCTTGACTTCAAAGTTGGCTGGAAGAAACTGAAGGAGGTTTTCAGCATTGCTGGAACTGTGAAGCGTGCAGACATCAAAGAAGATAAAGATGGCAAGAGTCGAGGAATGGGAACAGTTACTTTTGAACAAGCAATTGAAGCTGTTCAAGCGATATGTATCCTTGGATTAGAAAAATAATCGATCATATATTGATTAGTCTTTAATGGCTCTGACAAAGTAGTTTTGCAAATGGTGCTTATTTGCCTTATATGCCTTTATAGCTACCATATAGGGACTAGAGTGTCAAAATTCTAAAAGTTCCTCATGATGTTGAACAAAATTAAAATACCTAGCAGTGTGACAATTGTGAAACTAATGTCCCTAACAGCTTTCATTGCATCTTCTGGCCCTTGAATTTGGTTTCTAAAGATAAGGTAGGGGAAGATAAGACTCAGAGTAATTGTACAGAAATATAATAATTTATTACATTGATTCTTCAGAAACAGTTAAATTGCCTTCTTAGGATTCCTTGACTTGCATTTCTTCAGCTATGTTCAATGGACAATTCCTGTTTGACAGACCCATGCATGTAAAAATGGTAATTCGCTTTCATTTCTTTCTACTTTATATGTCTTTGCCAAAACACTGAAAGGATCATAGCATAACATCCTTGTTGTTTTATCAGGATGACAAATCAGTTCCTCATGAAGACTTCCGTGTTGTGGACAGCAAGAGTTCACAATTACCTCGTAAGTGCACATTCTGTTTTCTACTCCTTGCACTTAGTACATGGTGATCCATGTTTTGGCACAGTTTAGTAATACTTTTGCTTACTGTGGTCTCTGTGATACAGAGGAAGGTCTCTCTTCTGATCATACTTATATTTTTTTGGTTTTTGAGGTGGTCTTGGTGGCATTGGTATGGGACTTGGACCAGGTGGACAGCCCATCAGTGCAACACAGCTGAACATGGGTGGTGGAATGGGGAGCATGGGTCCAGGAGGTAAATCCATATTCTTTATTTTTAAGTTATACAGAGCTTGTTTAAAAATTTTTAAGTTTAAAATTGTCATTTCTGTGTTTGGAAAAATGACTGACTTTTGACAAAGCAAGGCTTGTGTAGTGTGTTTTAGAGATTTTAACTCTCTCTAACTTAGAAAAAATCCATTAGGGTGTACTAAGTTTTGTTTATCTTTTTGGTTTAAAGGTATGGGAATAGACGGCCCAGGATTTGGTGGAATGAGTAGAATGGGAGGCGGTACGTGCAATAAAGTTTTTTTCATTAAATATCTCTTTAATACTGTATAGAAAACACTTTTCCTTTTTTACAGGACTTCCTGGATTTCGTGGAATGGAAGGAATGCCTAACATGGGAGGATTTGGAGTCAACCGAATGGGAGGTAGTTGAACACCGTTCCTGTACACCTACTAGTTTGCTAATATTTATTTATTAAAAGCTCTCCAGTTAGGGGTGGGTAATAAAGATGAGTTCAAAGGAAGTAGTTGCATGACAAGGCCTAGGAACTGGCGGGAGAGTTGAGCGTGCAATAGGTGCCTCTGATGCGTGCTTTAGATTCACTTCTATTTAAACAAGCAGCTGTGAAACAAGTGTTGTAGGAGCATCAACTTACAAGTAAGTAACAGAATATTTCTGGTTGTTTGCTTTGTTCTTTACAGAAATGTTCCGTGGTGGAATGGGAGCAAACATGGAAAGAGAATTTGGTCGTGGTGACATGGCATTGAACCGTGGTTTTGGAGAGTCTTTTGGAAGGATGGGTATGGTAACTGTTTAATTTTCTGACATAGTATTGGAAGAATTTTGCTAGAAGAGGAGACCTGGTTTCATTTGGTCATCTATCCCTTCACTCCATGTCATTACTGTAAGGATGTAATCTGAGTGTTCATTACAGCTACCGCTTCAGACAGAGGTTCAGGTGTGGAGGGGTTTTTTTCCCTCTGTAAAATATAAATGGAATAACTATTTGAGGAAAGCATTTACCTTCATACTGTTTATTTTGTGGAGTATTAAATCTTTGGAGTGTTGAAGTATATGCTTCTGATAATCCTGAGCAAGCTGTCCATATACAGCCTTTGTAACTTCCATGAGCCTGTTTTGGAAATGCATGGTGTAATACTGTTTTTACTTCAAATCAGATAGCACTGGACAGGAGTATTGAATTTTGATGTCCTCAGTTTTTGTCCTGACTTCTGAGCTCATACAGCTCAGAATGGTATTTATTGGTCTCTTCTGTAACTGAGACAGCATTATTTTGTTTATAGATGATGTCTTGTTGGCAGTGGGGTTCCCTCAAATGAGTTACTCTTCTGTCTTCAGAGGTGTGGAAGAGTTCAGCAGTAGAGCCTTTGTTACTATGCTGTTATCTGGATGAATCACAGAATCCCTTAGGTTGGAAACGATCGTAGAGTCCAGCCTTTAACCTAACACTGCCAAGTCCACCACTAAAGCAGGTCACCAAGAGCTACGAGCCCATGTCTTTTAAATCCCTTCAGGGATGGTGACTCCACCACTTTGTTGGTCAGACTGTTTATATGATTGACAACTCTTCCTGTGAAGCATTTTTTCCTAATATCCAATCTAAACCTCCCAGGTTTAACTTGAGGCTGTTTCCTCTTGTTCTATTGCTTGTTATTTGGTAGAAGAGACTGACCCCCCGTGTCTTTGCAACCTCCTTTCAGGTGGTTATAGAGAGTAACTACCCTAAGTTCCTGAGAGTGTCTGAGTCTCTTCTCCAGGCTGAGAACTCCAGCTCCCTCAGCCATCCTTCACAAGGCTTGTGCTCCAGAGCCTTGATCAGCTTTGTTGCCCTTTTCTGAACACTCTCCAGCACCTCTGTGTCTTTCTTGTAATAGGCCTGAAACTGAGCACAAAATGCATTATAGGGGACAGCTGTTCTTCTTCCCTGTTTCCTGTATTTTCCCATTTGTTTAATTCACCTCCTTGAAAGAGAAGAACTGCTAAGAGCATAAAGTTCATCTGGTCTAAAAGTTGACTTATCTTTTAAAAAAATTTATTAGTTGGGGCAAGTCATAGCAAAGAGTAACTGTTGTGTGCTTCTCTTCAATACTGGTAATTGTGTAGAAGTGGTTAGAACATAATAAGCTCATCCTTTGAGCTAGTCTTAATGCCTTGGAATGAATGTCTTAGAAAATAGAGTGAATGCTTTCACACTGGCTACTTGCATAAACATCTGTTTCCTGAGTGAAAATGCAAGGCCACTTCAGTTATAAATGTTTCTGCAAGCAGTAGGTTTCTGAGTCTTCTGGTAACACATTGGTTTAGAAATCTGTGAACATGGCTACTGTGAGAAATAATGTGGGTGTCTTTCATTCAGTAGATCCAGCAGGCTTCAATATACAATCTGTCAGTGATCTGACCATTTGAATAGTGTCCTGAGAACCAAGATCAGATTCCCAGCTTAACCTTAAATAATGGAAGGAAATTGTAGGGTCTTTTAATAGATACTGTGTTTGATCGGGAAAGGCCCTAATGTACTCCTGTTGCAATATTTAGGATAATGGTATCTTAAAAAGAAATACTGTGAAGGCATTTGGTTTTAGTAAGCTTGAAATCAAGGAAGGCGTCTTTGGTTTGGCTATAGTATCAGAGTCGAATTGAGGATGTTTGATTTGCAGCAGAATTGTTGACTTTTTATACTGCCAAGTTCATATAAGATGAAGCCTTGAGTTTTGAGGTTGTTCTTTCTGATGTAGGAAATGGCCCATTTAGTTCTACCATGTTTGTGCTGCTGGCAGGCTGTCAGAGGGGAGAAAAGCTAGAAACAAATCAGAGTAGCTTAAATCCTGTAGAATCCTGTAGAAAAGGAGAAACTAATTTTACTTACTAGATGTTCCTATTTAGCTTGTTTAGTAAAGGCACGTGTTAAAGTGCCCTTATAGAAAAATATTGCCAGGTAACATTGCAAACAGTGCACTTCATTAGTGTGTGCTTTGCTTTTTTTCACTAACTGGTGGTTTCGGTGTATGTCACTTCATTATTTTTCTCTGTTTAGGTGGTGCAATGATTGGTGTTTTTGCAGGAGGAATGGGAGCACCTAGCATGGGCCCAGTAAGATCTGGAATGAGTAGGTTAACTTGTTTCAATAGAACATAAATGCACAGGCAATGTATCAATACGGTGTACACCTACTTGTATCAGAGGAACTTGCTGCAGTGTAGTGCCTTGCTGCTGATGGAAGTAGAACTCTGTTGCATGTGACAAGTCTAACAGTTTTCAAAGCTGTTTTGTTGAGGTAAAAGTTCAGAGGAAAACTAGCTAATACGGTCTTTCCCTTAATCTTAGATTTGGAATGGTTTCAACTTCTAGTTTGGAGAGAGAAGTGATTAAAGCAAACTTGTGTTTCAGAAAAAAGACAGGCAGAGTTATTTGAGTAGACTTCATGAACCTCAGTAGTCTGGCATCATTGAAATAAAAAATCAGTCTTGAATTTCAGATTATTACCCAGTTTAATTTTTTGCAAAGCTCCAATACTGAGTTTGTATTGCAGTAACTCTCTGAGTTCCTCAGGCTAGAGCAGATGAGAAACTAAAATCTTTCTATCACCAATCTTAGAAGGTATAAGGCTTAAAAAAGGGTTCTTCATGAATTATATTGATAGTTTTACTGTACATTAATTTTTAATTATGAATACAGAAATATTATTCGAATGCTATTGCTCTTTGTTCCGTATATAAAATAAATTAATATATTTTATTCCATGTATGTACTTTTTATCGGGGTTTAAACTATGACACATAGGAAAGCTCTTTACAGTACTTGCAGTTACTTCTGTTCTTGGCCAAAAAAACCCAAAACTTCTCTAGAAGATTTTGTAATTAGGTGTGGGTATGGTTGCATTAAGTAAAGCTGAATATAAATGCAGAAAGCCAAATAAACAGTAGCGTGTCTGGTCAAATTATCTGTATCTATGTATTGCCACAGTTATTTTTTTGATCTTTTTGGTAAAGGGTATCATATTTTTATTAACTAAACAAGACTGACTTTAAATATGTGTTCAACATTTTGATACATTAGGTGGTGTGGCTTGATGCACTTTGGTTTTACTGTTATTTTAGAACTGACACTCTGTATCTTGTAATACTTTGTCTTAAAATACTAGCCGTGCTCCTCAATAAAACACTGTGCATGTGTGAAAGTTATGGTTTATGTTACAGCAGTTTTAATAAAGTTATTCTTCTCCTGGCACAAGAACTTTATTTTATACCAAATACTTGTGTGTTTATTATTAAAAGGAGATTTTATTTTATCCTCTATTTCTTTCTCTGTGTAGGTGGTGGAATGGGTGGTATGAACAATATGGCTGGAGGAATGGGAATGGATCGGATGGGTTCCGGTTTTGATCGAATGGGACCGGCCATGGGTGGAGGCCTGGACAGGAACATGGACATCGATCGAGGATTTGTGCCTGGCCCGATGGGAGGTGGCATGAGAGAGAGATTAGGCTCTAAAGGCAACCAGATATTTGTGAGAAATGTAAGCAATTAAATATATAGAAACCACAAGCTTATTTTGTGTATATGTTTGATTACACACTCTTATTCTCATTGTAATATTTTGTTATCAATAATACTTTTTTATTCTAGCTTCCTTTTGACTTGACCTGGCAGAAGCTAAAGGAGAAATTCAGTCAATGTGGTATGTATATGAACCTTACCCCTGCTCATCTCCATGGACTTCATGTGCTATGTGGTGTTTATTAGATAACAACAGGAAGACTGTTGTTGGACTCTGAAGAGGAGTCTGGCTAGCTTAATCTTTCTTATTTCACCCAGCTTTCTTGAGATAGATAAATAGTTTTTAGGCATGCCCAAACACAAGACCAAGGTACAGTGTGGGATGAGTTGGCTTTGAGTGCTCACTTGCTATAAACTTTAACCTAATCCGTTAATAAAATTACTCTTTGAAATTTTTCTCTTTTTTTGACATATTCCCTGGCTAGTAAAAGTCTATAATGTAGTGTTTCCTATGAGATAAATACATGCAGGAGCCTGGGTCTGTCCACATCATGCATTACTTCAGAAATAGTGCTGCATCGAATCACAGTTAGTAATTTTGCCGGTGTAGCATTACTGGTTTTCTTATACATACAGGTGATCCTGATTAGCATATTTGCAGGCTGTAATGTTCCCCTTTATCGTAAGAAATAAAGGTTTGCTACAATAATTCAATAATCGTTTTTATCTGATTCAGAAAAGTTGGTCTTTTCACAGAAATAAGTGAAAAATAAAGCTTGGGTGTAGAAATACATGACATGTTTTGAAAACATTTTCAGAACGGAGAACTTTAACTGAATTACAGGATGACTTCTTATTTTAGATAGACAGAAAAGATAAATAATTTAAAACATACTACTGATGCCTAAGACAGTCATCATGCAGCTGTGTACAGATTTGATATAAATTAGACCTCGCAGTTCAACTGTGAAAAATTACAAGGTGTTGATGTTTTTTTGTAGATGGAGGATATAGCACAACAGGTTCTTTCTTCTAAAAAGTCTTAACCTCCTGGGCAACTTTGAGATAGTTCAGAATTTTTTTTTCATTATCTCTGTTTGCTAATGGATGTACTAGTTATGTTCAGTTGCTTTTAAGAATTATAAGCAACAAATTGTGTTCATGTCAGTATCGTAAGGAAATACAAAGACTGTTTCCCAGTATTCAATTTCTTTCAGTGAAAGGCCAGTCTTACATGATATTTAAAAATAAAAGGCTTTGTATTTCAGGGAAAAGTTTTTTCTTCCTAGTGACATTCAGGGGGCTCAGGAGGGGTGTGCTACAACATACCATAAACAAAAACTCATTAGCTCCAGGGAACTGAACATTCTTAGAAGTACCAAAAGATCTTTATAAGAATATTTCCTTGTGAGTTGAGTGTCCAGCCTCAAGGAAGTTCAAAGCAGGAATTGAATAGTGCATGCTACTTTTCCACCACTCCCAGTCTGGTCACTTTATTGCTTTAAAGGCTTTAATTTTGCTCAGCAGTTTCTTAAAAGAATTGCTTGGTATGTTTTTGTGATGAACATGGTGGACTGGATTAAGCTACAAGTTGGATAATGCCTATCAATACTCACATTTCTTTTAGTATGAAACACAAACCTTTCCTTGAGTCTTACAGGGCACTTTGTTTCAAACTTGAGGTCAAATACAGGTGTACTTCAGGAAAGATTGAAAATAGCAGATCTGGATTTGGATTCTTTCCTGCTGTTTTGTCCCATGTTATCTTGCCTGAATGAGTGAATGTACTATCAATCTGAAAGTGCCAATTTCATATGTTCCCCTAGGTTATACTTAATGGGGTTTTCTTAATCACTTCTAAGTGTTGTAAGTTGTTAGTACACTGAGGACTTGAAATAACTGCTGTTTAACTTATTTATTCAGGTCATGTAATGTTTGCAGAAATAAAAATGGAGAATGGAAAATCAAAGGGCTGTGGAACAGTCAGATTTGACTCACCAGAATCTGCTGAAAAGGCCTGTAGGATAATGAACGGCATAAAAATCAGTGGCAGAGAAATTGATGTCCGCTTGGATCGCAATGCGTAATTTAAAACTGTGTGTTCAGGAACATTCCTATGTCTGTTTAGCTTCTCTATCTTAGTAAGTCATTTTTAGTAACATTGTATGCTTACAAAAGCTGTAAAAAGGAACTTTTAAATCCCACCAGCCTTTAACAGTATAGTGTTTAATATACTGTGATACTTGTTAACTGAATCTTACTATGTTTGGTTTTTAAAGACAATTTGCCTGATTTTTGTTGTTTTTTTAGAGGCACTGAGCACCTGCAGGTCCCTATAGACTGTGGATGCTTTGGATGCTCAGTGTCTTTGGAAAATTAGGCCAAGTGTCTCTAGTCATTCAGTTTAAATGAATGGTTATACTGTTTTTAATAAAATAAGCCATTTTCTCTGTTAATCTCCAGATTGCATAGTGGGATTTATTTAGTGTTTTCTGACTTTTTTTTTTCCCCCTCCAATGTGTATCAACATTGTAATGTAAAAAGTAGATGTCTTTTTCAGAATTTTGGTTTTATATGTGTGTTGTAGTCATACTGTAATTCTTGACTCTAAAAGAAAGGGCTCCAATTAGGCTGTGATGTTTTTGTTCTACTTAATATTACTTTAATGACATGATTTAGTTCTGTATATAAGATTTAGAGCCCAATGGGAGTTTGGAGTTGGTTTTTTTAATTTTATTTTGACTAAATGAAGAAACTGATCTTTTTTTCCTGCTTTTATTTTTTTCATCAGCATAATCACTGATTAAAACTAGTTACCACAGACCCTTGTAGGATTGTTTCCTATGATGCCAAGTTCATATAAAATTGATAATACAGTAAATACTAAGTACAGGACAAAACAAATAGTTCCCAATTTTTTATCTATTTTCCAGCCATTCAGGTGAACTGCCAGAAAAATAAAACCAACAGAACAGATAAGAGAAATGGCTGTGTATGTCAGACCACTGCTGTTCACTTCTATGGGTCCTGATGTATTTATGAAGGCAGTTTTTATAAACCAGGGTATTCCCAAGCAGAGCATGTCAAATACATTGGATCCTACAATGTTAGACATAGCCATATCTCCATTTCCTGTAAAGGAACAAATACAAATAAGTTGGCTTAATTGTATTGCATGAAATTGCCAAACTGTTTTGGAGGAACAGACTGCCAGCCCTCAGTTTCTCACAGAGCACCCTTTCCAGATTTTGCATCAGAAGAACTATAGTTACGATTCTACAGAACATGGGTACCACAACCATAAAAAGTCTCCCTAAATCACCAGCATCTGCACAGTTGCACTTAAAATTAAGCTAGACAGGCTATTATAAAGTCCAGTTATGATTAAAATACCGAGACCTACAGTTGCATTCTGCAGTAAAACTGTAATACTTAATCAACATCAAATAAACCAATCTCAAATACTTCTCTGAGATACTGTGAGAAGTTTTTAAATGTCTGAGCCACAGCTTTTTCAGGTAAGCTATTTATTTATTTTTAGTAAACTTAAGCTCTAGAATCTGGAGCACAAATTTTGAGGTAACTCCTTGAATTTATCAAAATATTGACTAGAATTCTTTTATTTGTAGTACCTTTTAAACACATCCATTGGCATGAGCCTAAATACTAAAATCTTTACCTTTTCGAGCCACCAGCACACTTGCAACTGTATCTGGCACACTTGTTCCTGCTGCTAGTAATGTGAGACCCATTACTGACTCTGGGATACCCAGCGTTTCACCTGCAATTGAAATAACAGTAGAAAATACAAGTGTGATTTTAGTTTGGGTTCATCCAAAGAAAGTGCTTTGGACTTTGTTTGCTGGAGAAAAAATCAGTAATCATACAGTAATTTCAAACGAAATGTGTGAGCTAACTTAACTACATGTGAGGTGACTGAACCACAAAGCAGTTAAAACAAAGAGTAACAGCAAATATCCTTTCCTTGTTCTTCAAGTCTGCAGTGGTCAAGACAACACCAGTTATGATTTTTTTCTTGCAGATAAGGTAAAAGTTTTAATATCTATCAAATGACTACTCTTTTTTTCAGTTTTGCGCATGTCCTTGTTAGTGTTCAAAAGTCTTATGAAGCAATAACTCTTAGGATCATTCTTTTTAATCCCCTTGGGGGAGGGGAAAAGCACATGAATTTTCTTGGGGAGGACAGTCATTAAGATGTTATAAGAGTACTGTCTCAACTACATGCCTTTACCATTTCACTCCATTTAGAAAGTGATTTGGAAGAATCAAAATACAGGATTTTTATATGACTTGTAAGTACAAGTAACCCCTTAGAAGTATGAGTTCCTTTAGGGAAATATTTGTTTAAATTAAAAAAAAAGTTTTAAGTTGTTATTAGAAAGGCAGCTTGTTTTTCCCTAATCTCTGTTTTTCTTAGCCCCAGATGTTCTGTAACCATATTAATTTCTAACGTAAAATACAGGGATTCTTCAAAACTGTTTTAGCAGTTGTACCATTCAGAAGCATCAGTATGCTGAAGTACTTGATACCTCTAGTCAAGCTACAAATAAATTAATTTTTCTTAAACTTTTTTTTTCTCTAAAAAGTATCTTAATATTTTTATTGTTGAAATCTTAGTTCTTACTTGAAATATTTTGACACATTTAATAAGAGCAATTTTATTTAAATAAGAGGCAGTATGCTAAGCTAGGTCAGCAATACTTGTCTATTACTTACCAGCTTAGTCTAGAGCAGCCCAGTAAATTTATGTTTGAAACTGTTAGTTATTTTCAGAGGGACTAACATTATCCTGTTGCAGAATTTGTACTCTCTTTATCCTTCCATCACTTCTAATAGATTTGTAGGATGAGGGACCAACAAATCAGCTTTTATAAACCATCCAGGCTGGAAAACAATGGTTCAAACCAAGTTGAAATATGAATGAACCAGCCTTACATACCCAACATTAGTTTCTAGCCCTCTGAAGGTTATAAGACAGAATATAAACTCAGGAGAAACTATTTTTTCTTTTTATTAGCTAGATTTATCTTCTATTTAATGTGTAGTGGTTTATTTTTTTTTATGGCAACTGACCATAAAGACAAAATAGTCTTATTTTTCTAGGCTTTTAATTTTGTGTATCAATGTGTTGCTATAAGTAGTTGAATTTTCTTTGCCAGCAACAGAAAGATGTACTAAGTTAGGTTTGCTCTTGACCATCCCAGTTTAGTGCCCAGCTATGACACCTTTGTGACATTCTGACAGGCTGATTATGCAATGGTGGAGCCTATGAGTCAACCTTCATGAGAGCCTGGACTTGAATATATTGTGTGTTTAACTTGTAGTGTTTTAACATGTAAATAGAATATAATTTACCTAGAAGTAGTGGGCCAAAGATCCCAATACTACCTGTGATGACTCTTGAAAATGAACTAATACAGTCTCTGAATCTCCACCATACCTACTTTCATATGAATTAATGCATTGTCTTATAGAACAGCAATAACGTTGATTTGAATCCTGTTTCAAAGGCTTTTAGCATCCAGGCAGTAAACCCTTGCTCATTAGGTACAAGTAGAAAATTATTTAACCAAGGGGTTAACGTGGTGGGTATAATATCCAGAAAGCTACTAGTAATTTCTCAAAGGTTTACTGAATGTGTAGGTCTGTTTCTGCACTGAACAAGGAATTATTCATATCTGAACTAGTAGAATGCTTGAGTAGGATTAGTGAGCTATAATGTAAAAATGGCAAGCTTTGAGAAATTTCTGTGGAGTTTTAATGTTGTTTTCTGCTTGTTCTTAAAAACTGGATGTCTTTGAAGCTGACTGGAGAAACAATGAAATGAGGAGATTTAATACCTCAAAGTAATTTTAGGAGAAGGTTTTTGCATACAAGTTCATACTCCTTCTCTCACTCAAATGCAGTCCTTTTACTGCCCCACTTTATGATGCAGATTTGTAAGAGGTCCACATACACACACTCCGAGAATGTTTAATAAACACATTTGAGAAGCTTTTTGGCAGTTAATTGAATGCCAAATCTCTTACTATAACATTTGTGAAAAACACAAGGTGTAGAAATTACAGATTTTTTCCAGTCTTAGAGGATTTCATGTTTGTCAGCCTTTAGCATGGCAAGTTTATTGCTGTGTGTCTAATTGTTTTGCTTAATGAAGCAGGTTAGTGAAACTGTTTTTAAAAATAGACCGGGTTTTTTGTAGCTACATAAAGTTCTCATTCATGTGATGATAAGCAGTGTGAAGCAGCTAAACTCAGAAGTGTTCCGTCATTGGATAGAAGAGTGTGGCAAATTAAGCAGTCAAGTTTCTGTTGTTTTTCTTTGCTGTGTTTTTTTACAACTCAGTCTGAGTTGCTAAACTAACTTTTAAAGGGAAACCTCACAAGTTTTTCAGTGATTCTTGACTGATATAGCAACACCATTTTGGGTACCTACCTGCTATTGTCACCATCCATACAAGAACATAAGTTATTGCAGAAATCCATGCTGCTGAAATTAAAAATGTCACCATGAACCAGTTCCTCCAAAACTGTCTTCTGCAATCTGGTATAGTTAAATAGAGTAGTGTGATAATAGGAAGGGATAACACCCATAAAATTCTCTTCATATCTGCTTCAGGCATGGTGAAGACATTTGGATGATCTGTTAAAGAAAAAGTAATTTTTAACTTGTAGCATTAAGTTTGAATCCATAGCATACAGTACATTACTGTCCTCTACTTGTGAGAATACTGAAAAAAAGGTGAAAAATACTTCTCCCTCAAGTTTCAGCTGTAGTATTACCCAGTACCTACATATCTCTGGACAAAATTCTGAAATGAGGTTACAGTGGGGCGATTCTGCTTGTACAAGAAAAGCATTTTTTTCACAATGAGAATAATCACCAGTAAAAAAAATCTCCCCAGGAAATGGTGATTCTCCGATGTTGCACACTTCTAAAATTCAGCTGAACAGCTGCTGGCCCATCTGGGACCATGCTTTTGCCAAGAAAGTTTGGACGAGATGGTCCTTGAGATCCCTTTCCAGCCTAGTATTCTATGATTAAAATGTTTTTTATTACATCACCAGGGAAGAACTAAGGTGGGTGAAAAATGGATTTCTTTATAAGGGTTTACCCATAACATTTACCAAGTACCAGCTGCTGTTTTTTGCCTAAGAGGAAACATGACCACATGTGGCCACGTCACAGCTATCCCTTTACTTCTGATATTATGCATATTTTGGGCTACAAACCTGCCACTATCATAAGGAAACAGTGTATATTAGTACAGTACCTGTGTGGCTTTCAGGTGATAGTGCATTTTACAAACAGTGTTGCTGAGAAGTTTCAAATACACACAACAAAGACAGAAGTTCTACCATGACACAGATAAGCAACTATCCTTGCATTCATCTAGCAACTAACTTCATATGAAAACTATCACTATGATTTTGCTCAATGTTATATTCCAAGTTATAATGATGATCTACTTGAATACTAGGCTGGAGTTCTTTTGTGAGCAGTCTTAATCTGAGAATCTGCTCTTGATCAGAATTGAAGACAGGCATGTGGAGTGCTAGAGACAGCTGTAGTAATGCCTATACCTTCAGAGATCTCATCGAGCCCGTGTAAGCTTGTTGAAAGTTGAGAGTAGTCCAGCTCATCTTGAAAAATTCCGCTGTCTGTTCTTGACTGTTGACGAATTAGAGGTCCACTCTCATCTCTCCATCCAACCAGTGGCTGCTGCTCTGCATTCTCTTCCATAGCTTTTGTAAAACACGCACAGCAGGGACTGAACTTTTTCATGAGGTATTGGTTGATTTTAATGTCAAAACATAGTACCAGAATATAACACCCATATATCAATAATAGGGATGCACTTTCATACCTAGAATGAAAAACAAGTTTTATATAACATGTAGTATAAAATAACCCAATTGTTGGCATAAGGAGAGAGAGAAAATTTGCATGAAGAGCAAAAAGAGAACACACAGAAGCATCTATTTGCAATTGTATGGCTACTGTCATGGAAGTTTGTGAGTGTCCCCATGTCTTTCAGCAGTTGACTGTCTTGTTGAGGTAACAGGAGTTTCAGTGTTCATGGAGGAGTTAAAACTTCAGAAATTCATGATCTTCTGGCAGACAAATATTTTTCTGAACAATGCTGCTATGAAAGAAAAGGCTCAAAAGGAGTAAATGCTGAACACTAATTGATATGCCAGAACAGCTGTGATAGAAATTGTGAAGTCTGTACAGACAAACCTATGCAGATCAAACTTCATCAATATGCAGAGTTTGAATGTTTAGGTAATAATCGTTACAAGCATTGTGACTTTTTAAGTTTTTTAAAGCCAACAGGATGTTTATTTCTGTTAGTGAACGGCAGTTCAGGCTTCTTGAAGTTTGGGGCTTGGGGATTTTCATTTGTTTTTCAAAACACTATCTCACAAATCTCCAGTCAACAGGAATTCAA